TTCCTCACCCCTTCCCCTCAAACACCCCCCCGAAAAATACAACTTTTTTAGTGGTAAATAGTATCGTTTCCAGACTTTATATAATGTAATCGCGATGATAATTCTAAAAGGCGATTATATTTAATCTTTCACGGTATTTCTGACGTCCAGGGCTGTTGGGGTTGGGCGTGTAATCGAAAATGTAATCCATATATGATATAACTTTAAAAGGTAATTCAACTGGAAGAGATTAACTCATACGTAAAAGTAATTCAGTTATAAAAGTTTAAACGAGTAATTGAAATTAAAAAAAGAAGATAATTAAGGTAATAATGTTATACAGGTAGAGAGAGTTAGATACAGAATGGTAATTATAAAGGGAGAAATTATTTGAAAGGTAATTTGGCAACACAGGATTAACAACTAAAGTAATTCTGTTCACAAAGGATAACACAGATTACAATAGGTCACAGGTCTGTATGTATGTATGTATGTATGTATGTATGTATGTATGTATGTATGTATGTATGTATGTATGTATGTATGTACGTATGTATGTACGTATGTATGTATGTATGATTCACACAATTTTTGCAGTGATTCGAGTTATTTTTTGCTCTGATTCGACTGATTCAAACCAGAAGACGAATCAGACGGCCAAGCGATCAACCTTAAGTGAATCGTATTTACGAAGTTCCCAAGAGGCCTTAAAAACTGTCCCCCTCAGCCTGATGTAACGATAATCCAATCACGACCCTCTATGTCTCAGCCTCGACCAATCACGACACCCTCTGGCTCTAGCTCTACCAATCATGTGTCTCTCTGGCTCTAACTTTGCCAATCATGAGTCTCTTTGTATGTAGCTCAACCAATCACGACGTTCTCTGGCTCTGCTTGCATCAATGGATAGGAGAAAGAGAGAGAGAGAGAGAGAGAGAGAGAGAGAGAGAGAGAGAGAGAGAGGCAAACATAGGCAGAGATATAGAAAAAAAACAGATAAATAAAGAGGGAGACAGACAGATATACTGTATTGATAGACAGACAGACAGACAGACAGACAGACAGGGAAATACCACTCTTATAAATAGGTCAATGAAAACTAGGTATATAATTTGTCACATTTTATTTATATTTCCACCAGAAATTAACAAACTCTGTTATCTTTTGTTAAAGTTAATAGTGGAGAGAGAGAGAGAGAGAGAGAGAGAGAGAGAGAGAGAGAGAGAGAGAGAGAGAGAAGAGAGAAATACAGAAAAACAAAAAGAGAGAGAGAGATAAAGGGGGAGATAGAGATAGAGAGATAAAGGGAGAGAGATAAAGATAGAGAGATAAAGAGAGAGAGAGAGAGAGATATTAATCACCATAAGACATGATCTCCTTGACTTAAATTAATCTTCACAATTGATCTCATATAAAAGTTATCAGTAAACTTCTCAGTATTCTTTAATTAATATACATACCAGGGTTATGTTTACTGCCTCACATATACAGCAGGTCATGTATACTGGCTCACATATACAACAGGTCATGTATACTGGCTCACATATACAACAGGTTATGTATAATGGCTCGTATATACAGTAGCATCATGCATACTGCCACACATAGACAGTAGGGTCATGTATACTGGCTCACATATACAGCTAGGTCATGTATACTGGCTCACATATACAGCAGGTCATGTATACTGGTTCAATATACAGTAGCATCATGCATACTGCCTCACATAGACAGTAGGGTCATGTATACTCGCTCCCATACACAGCAGGTCATGTATACTGGCTCACACAGACAGTAGGGTTATGTATACTGCCTCACATATACAGCAGGTCATGTATACTGGGTCGCATACACAGTTGGGTCATGTATACACACATACGTGATATATGCTGCCATCAAAGCTTGTATTTAGATACACACGCATACACATACACATAGACTATACATGCACTTGCACATACATACATACATACATACATACATACATACATACATACATACATACATATATATATATACATACATACATACATACATATATGCATACATACATACATATATACATACATACATACAAACATACATACATATATACATACATGCATACATACATACATACCATTCTAAAATTAAAACACTTCTCATCTGTACTTAAATATTTACATTTAATTAACTTTTCCAAACTAAAGTTTTTCTTCGGATTTTTCACTTTAGGATGAATGTAAATTGTATAGTCATCATTTACATTCAATGAATAAACATATTTACATTATTCCTGTAAAAAAAAGTATGGAAAGGTGAGTGTATAAAAATGTATATATTTCTATTCCTCTGTGATCACTAAATGAAAGTCGGAACCCTTGATTAAAACTCTGATTAATTCACTCGAAAAATGAGTCTGACTTTATGTAGAAAAAGTTGTAATTCATTATTGCTCTTACCAGTAATTGTCAGTTCCGGCCAGATAAAGAATGAGGCCTCCTCTTCCTCCTCATCCTCCTCCTCATCCTCATCCTCCTCCTCCTCCTCCCACCTCATCCTCATCCTCCCCCTCCTCCTCCCCACCTCCTCCTCCTCCCCCTCCTCCTCTGACTCATTAACTGACTCACTGATTGACCAGCTGAGAGGAGCACTTGTTTGACCAGTCTGCACTAAATCACCTTATTTATCAGCTCCATCTTCCTTTTTTTGGCGTCCTTAGCAACCATCACACCACGAGAGCGTTGATTGGTCGCTGGTTGCTAAGGGAAGCCCATTGCCAATCTATCAACATCACAACCAATGTTTTTTATCTTTCAATTTTCAATACCTTAATATATCAACATGTGAATATATATTTTATTAAAACTTACTAATGGTGTTAATAGTGAAAATATTTAATGTAAAAACTCACCATAAAATCTTGTTAGCTTGGTACAGTGAGTTGCTAAGGACGCCAAACGGAAAACAAAACTTAGTGCCTTTTATTTACACATCCCGACCTACCCTAGCTCTTGTGGTTAAGCTACACATTGTTAGCTTACCTCTGATGACTGTCCTAGATGGTAGTTAACATAGGTACGGTAGGTAATGTATGTACTGAAGTTAACTTTGATATATTACCTGAAGTGTTAACAAGTAAGGTAGAATCTATCGCTAATTAACGTAGAAATTTTTATTATTTCTTAAAACAAGTTATCACCATTTGCTTAAGAAAGTTATGTTGTTATTAAAGTTATCATGGTTGATTATGTTAACTAGTATCTTATCTTGTTTAAGTTATAAGTTATCACTGATGACTCAAGATAAATTAAAAGTTAGGTTAGGTAGTTATTAAGTAATTTAGCAGTTGTTTATCGTCGTAACTAAGCTGTTGATACTAAATCTTCTTTGAATTATCATTGTTTTTGTCAAGGAAGTTTGAGTTAAAAGTTGTTATTGTGTTTGTTTTATCGCTGGTTATGGTGTTATGAATGTGGTGTTGTTTACTGTATTATCCTGCACCGTATCATAGCTACAGGTTATCACAAGTTACAATTACAGTATGACTTAGGAGTTGTTATGTTATGTCTTCACTAACTTAGAGGTTTATCACTACCGACCCAAGTTATGTTCCTCCTTGACACGAGTTTGCTTACATCACCCCCTCCACCCCCACTCTCCCTCCAAACATCTCCCAGCTGTGCCCCCCCTCCACCTCCAGTCACCCCCCAGCTGCTCCTTGCCTCAAGTGCTCGAGTGTTACTTAATGTATACATAAGGTGAACCTATAGCGGGGTCCTAGTCAGCCTCCAGCAAGAAGTCAACCTCGAAGTCTTGTAGGACGCTGACAGGACGCCCTGGCCACCTTCAGACAGGTGTCCCTCTCCTGGCTCGGTCGCCGCCGTACGTAGTGGAGATGTTGTCGATCATCTGCACCTCATCTCGGGCCAGAAACAGGATGTCTGAATCGTCCGAAAGTTTGTTTCGTTTACGGATCTTCCGGGTGTAGAGCACGACGACCACGGCCACCAAGACGACGCCCGTGATCACCAGGATGGCTATTAGCGTCGCTATGCCCGTAGACATCTGCTTGGTGCCTCCTAGTGACGTACTGGTGGTGGTGGTGGTGGATGACGAGGTGCTGGTGTTCTGGGTCGTCGGTGTCTGTAAGGTCGTCATCGTGGTCGTCGTGAGTGGTACAGCTTTCATGGTCGTGTTTTTCCATCCTTTTCCGTCTATAGTGATCAATATGTCTCTTATCTCCGTCGTGGTGTCGTCGCCCGGTTTGGCCGTTATGTTGACAGCGTCTTTCTTGGTGGACGGTGAGGCTCCTGTCGTCTCCTCTGTCTCACTTGGTTCCGTCGTCGTGAGTTCCACAACTTTTAGCGTCGTTGTGTGGCTGCCTGGCGTCGTGATGTAGCTGCCTGGCGTCGTGATGTAGCTGCCTGGCGTCGTGATGTAGCTGCCTGGCGTCGTGATGTAGCTGCCTGGCGTCGTGATGTAGCTGCCTGGCGTCGTGATGTGGCTGCCTGACATCGTGATGTGGCTGCCTGGCGTCGTAGTATGGCTGCCTGGCGTCGTAGTATGGCTGCCTGGCGTCGTAGTATGGCTGCCTGGCGTCGTGATGTGGCTGCCTGGCGTCGTGATGTGGCTGCCTGACGTCGTGACGTTGCTGCCTGGCGTCGCGATGTGGCTGCCTGGTGTCGTGATGTGGCTGTCTGGCGTCGTAGTATGACTGCCTGGCGTCGTAGTATGACTGCCTGGCGTCGTGATGTGGCTACCTGGCGTCGTGATGTGGCTGTCTGGCGTCGTGATGTGGCTGTCTGGCGTCGTGGTGTTATGTCTGGCTGGCGTCGGCTGTGTACCTGTGTGGTGCTCATCGCTACCTGCCGCAGACGTCATCGCTGGTGTGAGAGGCGAGGCGGGGGCTGTAGGGGGAGGTGTTCGTTGCTCCAGTATCGCCTCCGTCACCTCCGACAGGAACACCAAGGTGCTGGGAGAGACAGGATGCTTCGACGTCTCAATACGATGAGTAACAGGTCGAGTTGGGACTTGCATAG